GGGCTTGCGTCGGTGCTCCATGCCGACTGGTGCCGCATGCCTGCCCGCTCCCGCCCCGCCTGCCCGCAGCGTGGCCACCTCTGATGAGCACAAGCTGGCGTATGAGCAGTTCCGCGGCGTGGCTGTGTGGCGCAAGGGCATGGACGTGCGCGTGCCGCTCACGGCGCTGCTGGAGGCGGCGCCGCCCAAGTAGGCGCGCGGCGGGCGGCCAGTCGAGCCCCACCACCACCTCTGCTTGTTGCTTCCTGCTCCCCTGTAAATCCCCTCTGCCTGCTGTACCTCCTCCTTTGCTTGGGTCTCTGCTCTGCATGTCAGCCCTTTGAAATTTCAGGCCCCGGCGGTGCAACGCTCTGCCCTTCGAGATGGCGGGCAGTACGCTCGGGCGGCGGCGGCGACGTACCTTGCAACGACGCTGTTTCAATCTCCCGGCTGCTGGGAAACATTGCATGCGTGTGGGTATTGATCCATCGCACCGTGGTGCAGTCCTGCCCGGCTGTTGGTGTCCTGTTGTTTGAGTCGACTTTTACACTCGACAGCGCAGCTGCTGCCAGACGCGTTCCACTGCGCTTGCAGCTCAGCAGATTGAAAGCCAAGCATCCGCAGCCAGTCGCCGCTCACCAGGGCCGCCACCCGCCGCCGCCGCTCCGCTTCCCGCTTCCCGCCTCCCGTTGTCCCACCAGCCATGGGAATCGATGGGCTGCACGGCGTCCTGAAGCCGTACTGCCTGCCCAGCCACGTGCGCGAGCTGGCGGGGCACCGCGTGGGGGTGGACGCCTGGAGCTGGCTGCACAGGTGGGCGAATGATGGAGGCGGCACAGCACCCGGCTGGAGCAGGGCCCGGGCGCTGACTTTGCGGCCCGGCCTGCCTGCAGGGGCGCCGTGGGCGCGGCCCGAGAGCTGGCCACAGGCGAGCGGCCCTGGGAGGAGCGTGGGTTTGATGCGCCGCACGTCGAGTTCTGCCTGAAGATGTGCCGGGTGCTGCAGGCCGCCTCGGTGACGCCGGTGGTGAGCAGGCGCCGCCTGTGCAGGCCCGCTTGCATGTGCTATGCAGTGCCAACCTGCTTGCATGTGTGATGCAGTGCCATCCCTGGATTGACACTGGCCATCAACACCACTCACACCACACACCCGCACAGAGCACCCACCCACACCCATCCGCACCACGCTCCCACCGCCCACCCACCCCTCCTGCCACTTGCAGCTCGTGTTTGACGGCTGCCGCCTGCCCGCCAAGGCCGCCACCAACCAGCAGCGGCGGCAGCGGCGGGCGGACGCCAAGGAGCGCGCACAGAAGCTGCTGGAAGAGGTGAGGCTCCCGCTGCCCCGCTGCAGACTTTTGTGGCTGTCAGAGTTCCCACGACTATCAGCTGGCCAGTGTGCGGAGGAAAGCCCTCACCTCAGCAGGGTCTGCCGGCCCCCGCCTGCTCTTGCCTAAAGAAAAACTATTCGCCTCCCGGCCCTGGACGTGCAGGGGCGGGAGCAGGAGGCGCAGGGCGTGTTCATGCAGTGCGTGGACGTCACCGCTGACATGGCGCACGAGGTGGCGGCGCGCCTACGGTGCGGTACCGCCGCGCGCCGCTGGCTGGGTGGCGCTGCTCGGCGGCGTCATGGTGGCGGCAACATGAGTGAGGCGCCCCACCCAGCCATCCACCCCGTCCCTCCCCGCCCCTTCCCTGCGCCTGCCGCGACGCCCGTGCAGGGAGCGCGGCGTGGAGTTCGTGGTGGCGCCTTATGAGGCAGACCCGCAGCTGGCATACCTGTCATCCATCCCTGAGCGCGAGGGCGGCATCGCAGCAGGTGGGGCGGCGCTGCCTGGCAGGCGGCTGGCTGGTGGCTGGCTGGTGGCAGGCGGCGGCCGCAAGGCGGCCTCCCCGTTCCTGTTGGGCCGCGTTTCTGGTGTGGGGTGGCTGCCCCGCCAGCCGGGCAGCCCAGGCTGCTCACCGTGGCCCCGACTCGACGCCTCCCTCCCTCTGCTCCCTTGCTCTGCTCTCGCTGTGCAGTGATCACAGAGGATTCGGACCTTGTGGCGTATGGCTGCCGCCGAGTGCTTTTCAAGATGGACACGTGGGTGGGGGCTGGGGCAGGCAGCATGCGGGGACCGGGAAGGGGGCAGCAGAGGCACGGGGCGCGGCTGCGCTTGGTGCGGTCCACCAGGGTGTGCTCAGTCGGCATGCCTGCCTGCTTCTCGTCCTCCCCACCTTCCCGCCTGCTTCCAGGAGCGGCAACTGCCTGGACCTGAGCCTCGACCGACTGTTTGCCGGGCCGGAGGCGGCGGCGGCCGCGGCCGACGGCGCCGCTGCTGGCAGCGGCGGCAGGGGCGCCGCCGGCGTCGTGTCCCTGCGCGGCTTCACTCTCGAGATGCTTCAGGTGCTGCTGGGAGAGGGAAAGCCTGGGGCATGTGCCTGCGCGCTGTGCTGCCACCGTAGAAAGCACACCCGACTTCTTTCTTCACCGCCAGCCTGTCCCAGCCTTGCCCCTGGCTGCCCCCTCCCCCCTGCCACCTGCCTGCCTGCCGCGCAGGCTGCCTCTGTGCTGGCTGGCTGCGACTTTGCGCCCAGCCTCAAGGGCATCTCCTTCCGGACCGCCGCCGGCCTGGTGGCGCGGCGGCGCAGCCTGGACTCGGTGCTACGCCTGCTGCGCGCCGAGAAGCGGTGGCAGCTGGCGGCCACGGACGAGTACTGCGCCGCCGCTCGCCGCGCGGCGCTGGCCTTCAAGCACGCCCTGGGTGGGTGGGCACAGCAGCGGCGGCGGCGGGATGGGTGCATAACCTATGGCCCTGCCGCTGGCACATGGGGCAGCACGGGTGCCGGCCGCCGGTTGTTTGCAGGCTCTGTTCTGCCATTAGTGAACTTGCGAGCTGCCGCTGGATTGGCCCTGCAGTGTTCTGCGCAAACACGGCTGGCGGCAGCTGCCGGCGCCTGACGCCCCTGCCGCCGCCTGCCGGCCAGCAGCGAGGAGCGCCCACGCCATCTGGTGGCAGCCGCGGAAGTGGGCAGGCGCTAGAGTGTGCAGACCTGTCGCACCTCGGCGCTGAGCTGGCGCCTGATGTGGCGCGCGGCATCGCCTACGGTGCGCTGCCCTGGGGGATAGGCCCTCAAAACAAATCTGCCTAGCTGGCCTTCTGCTGGCTTGAAGTTGGACAGAGTTCCATGGCAGCCTGCCCCCCTTGCCCTGCAGGCTACCTGCACCCTCACACCCTGGAGCCCTTCCCCCCAGCCGCACCCGGCCGTCGTGGCAGCCACGACAGGCAGCGGGAGTCGCGGCAGCAGGCCGGCCAGCCTGTGCAGGCCAGCCTGGCGAGCCGCAGGCAGCTGGGGTCGTGGGTTGCCGGCGGGGCGGCAGCGGCGCCGGGGCAGCATGGGCTGGGCCCCTCGCAGCATGCAGCGACGGCACCGCTGCAACCCATGCAGCCGTGGCAGGCGCAGCAGGCGCGGCAGCAGCAGCGCGGGAGCCGCGGCGGCGCAGATGTGTCGGACGTTGTTCAGATGTATGCGCCGCACCAGGCTGCAGCCAGCGGGCAGCAGCAGGGAGCGGCAGTGCCGCAGGCGGGCACCCTGAGGCAGCGCGCCCACAATCCCTTTGCCCGGCACCAGCCCGTGGCGGCGCCAGAGCCTCCAACAACGGCCATGGGCGCTGCTGCGCCGGGGCAGCACGGCAGCTTTCGGCCGGTCCTGGGGGAGCCTGTTCAGGCGCGGGAGGTCATGGTAGTGGCGGCGGCAGCGGCAGCAGGCAGCGGTCCATGCGCACCAGCTGCTGCCGCCGATGCTGCTGAGCAGGAGGAGCCGTGCGGCAGCTGGGAGGAGGCTAGCACTGCCGTGCCAGCAGATGTGGCAGGCGCGGCAGGTGGGGGCGGTGGGGCCCAGGAGCGGCAGCAGGCACGGCAGCGGCTTGCCATGCAGTCCATTACCAACCTGTCCAGCCAGCAGCTGGCGTCGCAGCAGCCGCAGAGCTGCGGCACTGCGGTCTGTGCTGGCAGCCCCAGCCTCGGCTCTGCTTCGCAGCAGCAGCAGCAGCAGCAGCAGCAGCAAGCGGCGGTGTGGGACCGGAGCGAGCAGTATCGGCAGGCCCCACGCAAGCCGCTGGCAGCCACGACAGGCAGCAAGCGCAAGAGTAGCGGCGGCGGCAGCGGCACGAAGAAAGCGGCGGGCAAGCCTCTGGCGCCGCCGGCGCAACGCATCAGCCGGTTCTTTTTGGCGGCGGCCAAGCAGCAGTGAGCTGCCGGGTGCACGGCAGCACTCAGTTGAAGGATGCAAGGCTACAGAGATGTACAGAGCAATGAATCAGAATGAAACAGTGACTGGCAGAACAGGCAAGACAGCAGCAGAAACAGCACAACGTGCAAGGAAAGGAGCAGGAGCAGGAAATTGGGTTCGTTTGGGTAGGGACAGCGGCCTGCCATGCTGGGATCTGCGGCGCGGCCCCGCGCTGCAGGTCCAGGGATGCTAGCCCACCGGCGCCCCCGCCCCCGCGCCCTTGTGGATGACGCCAGGCGGGTACTCGCATGTGTATGGGAAGACGCGGAAGTCGGTGTGGGTGGCAGCCCCCTGCGGTACAGCAGTACAAGAGCAGCACAATGGCATGAGCGGTGCAGGGGCATGAGCGGGGCAGGGCTTGGTGCAGGTGCAGGGCGCCAGGGCAGCGTGGGGCAGCCGTGCCGGTCGGCAGCGCTGAGGTGGCGGGCCGCATGCCAAGGCCGGCCCCGCAGCTTGCCTGCTGGTCGTAGTGCATGGACACAAAGCACTCCTCGCACCTGCGGCACGGAAGGGGGGAGGCGCAGGACAGCAGAGAGAGAAGTCCAGTCAGCAGGGAGGGGAGGAGTCGCGGGGCAGCCCAGCCGACCCGGCAGCACAGCACGGCAGACAGAGCGCGGCCCAGGAGCTTGTTGGACAGGCTACGGTTGGTGACAGCGGGGGCACCCCCACCCCCACCCCCCACCCCCCCAGGCCTCACCAGAAGAAGGGCGTGTGCGGCGCGGCGCGGTCGTCATATGTGATGCGCTTGGCCACACGCCCGCCGCACACCTGCGCCAGCCACAGGGCGTGTTGCAATCACGAGTGCATGAGCGCAGGGGAGGGGTGCGCAGGTCCTCTCTTGCTTGTGCACACACCCTCAGCCCGAGGCCCTCCGCCAACCCACCCCAAGCCCACACCCCACCTCGCAGTCGCGCATGACGAGGTGCTGCGGCGGCGTGATGCGGAAGGGGTAGTGGCGGCGCAGCGGCGGGTCGCAGGCCGCATCAAACAGCCGCACATCCTGCACAGAGAGCTCGGCAGGGAGGGGCACGGAAGGGTGAGGAGAGCGCAGCATACGGGGCTCCGTGCGAGGCCAGGCAGGAGCAACAACACCACTGGCCGACAGGCGCCCCAGATGTGGCTCTAACGGGCCCAGCCCAGCCAGCCCAGCCCAGCCAGCCAGCCAGCCAGCAAGCCCACCCACCATGAAGGTGAGCAGGTGCTCGCAGCCCCCCTGGTGGCAGTACAGGTTGGCGGCGCCGCTGCCCAGGCGCAGCCACAGGTCGCCAAACCGCGAGGCCTCCATGCGGGCGGCGCTGAAGTCTGCAGGCGGGAGGCCAGCAGCAGGTCGGAGCGCGTGTGGGCAAGGAGAGGGAGAGGCGCTGAAGCAGCCGGGGCTTAACGGCGGTGGCAAGGGCAGGCATCCGTTGCACGTGTGGCCGGCTGGCACCATGCCGGGTGCCGGCTGCCTGCCTGTGGTCTGCACATCGACGCGGCCGCTGTTTGGCAGCGGGTGCGGCGGCGCCTGGATACCGTGCTCCCTGCAGGCAGGCAGGCAGGCAGGCGGGCGGGTGGATGGGCAGGGGCCGCAGGAAGAGCAAGCAGCAGATACAGGCATGACACAACACACACGCGTTTGGGCGCCTCGCTGTGCAATGTAGCAAGCCCGTTCCAGCGCTGACGTGGAGGACACAGCGGTACAGCAGTACGTGCCTGTTGTACCGGCGGATGGGCTCCGAGTAGTCGGCAGCATCTGGCTGGCGCAGGTCATTGTAAAAGGTGCCTGCGGGCGCAGCAAGGCACAGCAGGCTCAGCACGCCAGGCGCGCAGGGCAGGATGGTCAGCACCGCGATGGCACGCACAGGCAACGAGGATGCGACACATGACGGCAGCCGGCAGCATGAGGAGGAGGAGATGCAGCCCGGGAGGGGGCTGTGGCACAGCGCATTCGAGGCGGCGGCAGGCAGCCCGCGGGCGTGCCGCCTCCCCACAACCGTTGTGCGGGCTTGCTGTGGGCAGGGTCATGACCCGGGCGGGCATCGGGCGGCTGGCCCCGCCCGGGTTTCACATCCCTGCCGGGCAGGGGCAGGCCGGTGGACAGGCGCAGGCGCGGCGGCAGGCGGCACATGCAGGCGGCGCGGTGCGAGCACCGAGCTGCGCCTGGTGCGGTGCAGGCTGCGGGGTGCGTGTCCGCAGGCGCCGGCGCGACTCCCAAGGGCGCCACACGCCACCCCTCCCTCCAGCCTCACCCTCCACATAAAAGTAGGCGGAGGGGCGGCTGATGCGCAGCGGCACCTCGCCGACGGCCCGCTTGGCGTTCTCCTGCGGACAGGCCAGGCGGGCAGCGTTGCGCGCAGGCCAGGCGGGCAGCGTTGCGGGCTGGAGGTGGCAGTGCAGCGCGTGGGAGGTAGGCAGACGGAGCAGAGCGGGCTGATGCCACATGCTGGGTGGCAGCTCAGGATTCGAGGTCCCCAGGCCGCCCTGCCGCCCACCCACCCAACCCACCACCGCCCTCCCACCCCTCCCCACCCACCTCCCTCTCCATCGCCTCTGCATTCTTGTCCGCCACACAGAACAGTCGGTCCCGCAGCTCGGTCAGCGGCTGCGCCAGCAGGGCGGCGCCACGCGGGGAAGGGCGGGGGCCGTCAGGCGGGGCCGCGGCGGCGAAACTGGCGCCGCTGGGGAGGAGCACGCGGCACACGCGCCGGGCGCAGCGGGCCAGGCAAGCGGCAAGCTACGGAGCGGCGGGGGCAGGGAGCAGGGAAAGGCCGGCGGCAGCAGCAGCAGCGCAGCGGCCGGCAGGCGGCACAGGCGCCCCCACCTGGCTCTCCAGCACCAGCCATTCCTCTGATACCAGGTGCGGCGCATGAGGCACGTGCAGCGCCACATGCAACACCGCCTCGCTGCCATCCAGCCTGCCAGGGGGAAGCACACAGGCAGCAGGCAGGCAGGCGGCAGCGGGGTCTGGGCGGGCCAATCCGGCAGGGCGGAGCAGGCGGGAGCAAGGCGCCCACCTGCGGCGTCGCAACACCAGCCATGCAGGCGCAGCCGCCGCCGCCCGCTGCACCGGCGCAGGCGCCCACCTGTCGCCCGCGCCGCCGTCCCCGGCCTCTGCCGCCTCTGCCGCCGCGGTGGCCACCAGCTGCAGCTGGCGGCTGCGCGCGTCCTGCAGCACCTTCCAAGACATGGGAGCCTCCAGGCCTGCAGCGCGGCAGGGCAGGGCGGCGGCGGCACGCGGCGGCACTGTGTTGGGAGGGGTGGGGCACGCTGGGCGGACCTTGGAGGCTTTGGCGGGGCGCTGGCGACGGTGCGTGGCAGGACGCGCGCGCGCCCATGCCAGCAGCGCCAGGCGGCAGCAGGCAGGCAGGCAGGGCTTCCGGGGTCAGGCGGGCAGGCAGGGCACGCACCCGAGTCGGCGATAGATGCCAGCAGGCGGGCGGCGGCCTGGTGCTGGTGGCGCCGCCGCTGGCGCGCCGCCTCGGCCCGCTGGCGGTACGATTCCAGTACCGCCGCCACCTCCGGCTTCCGCTCCAGCCCCTCCTCCACCCTGCTGCGCTTCCGCTCCCGGCGCGGGCCGCCGCCGCCGCCCGAGTCGCCACTTCCGGCGGCGGCATCTGCCTGCTGCGGCTGCAGGCCCGGCGGCAGCAGCGGCGGCAGCGCCAGCAGTTCTGACAGCTCCGGCCAGAGCAGGAGCGGGTGCTGGGGGCCCAGCATGCCCAGCAGGGCCCCCACATCCCAGCCCAAGCCCACAGGAGCTGAGGTGTAGGGGGGCCCTGCAGCCTCAGCTGAACTGGGATTCGGGAGCTGGGCCTGCGGCTGCTGCGGCTGCTGCAACGATGCCGCAGGCGGGCTGGGCTCAGCGGGGGGGCTCGAGCTGCCGCCGCGCATCCTGCTTCGCGTGCTGCGCTGCGGGCCGCCGGCAGCACTGCCGCCGGGATGCGCCGCCGCCTCACCCCGCGGAACCGACTCCTGCTCATCTCTGCCTGCGGGCGGAGGAGGCTGCCCCTGCTGCTCCTGCTGTGAAGGCGCCTGCGCAGCTGCTGGCGCCTGCTGCTGCTGCTCCAGCTCGCCCTGCTGCTGCCGCTGCTCCGCAGAGGCCAGCTGTGTGACCGCATTGCCAGCCCGACCGGCCGGTGGAGAGCTCTGCTGCTGGGATGGTGCCAAGGGTTCTGCAGGCTGCGGCTGGGATGCTGCTCCCTCGTCTTCCTGTTGCGCTGGCACCGGCGCAGCCTGCACCTGCCCTTGCTCCTCCTGCTGCTGCTGCTGCTGCTGCTGCAGGGCGTCGCCTACACTCCCTGTTGCGCAGGCTGCAGCGCCAGCAGCATCTGCCAGGGGGAATGGCAGAGCCGGACCCGCCTCTGCCGGCGACACAATCGGCTGATCCCAGGGAATGGGCAGCAGCAGCGGCGGCTGCATGCTGGCGGCAGGCACGAGCGGCGCCGCCCCAGGCGGCTCGCCCTGCTGCTGCTGCTGCTGCTGCTGCTGCCCATGCTCGGTGACCAGCTGCCGGATCATCTCCTCTTGCAGGGTGGGCAGGTGAAGGTCAGAGGCATCCAGGAGCGGCGGCTGCCCGCCTGCGCTGCCAGGCGTGAGAGACGCGTCGGCGCCACTGCCAATTGCGGCCTGCTGCTGCGGCGGTGTCTCCAGAAGCAGCCCATCCAGCTGCTGCTGAAACTCCAACGCCTCCTGTCGCCATGCAGCCACGCTGCAAACAAGCAAGAAAGGGTGTGGCACTGGTGATGGGTGCCTGGCGGAGCGAGGCCACTGGCGGCGGCGGCGGCAGGCGCCGCCACACATGCCCAGCTGGGGCCTTGGCCATCAGGGCCGTTGCCATGCGCGCAGGGGGGCCATGCTGCGAGGAATGCGGGCTGCAGGTCTGCACCTGAAGGCCGCTGTCGCGCCTGCCTTGAGCTGCGGCGGGGCGGCGGCCTGCACGGGAGGGTGGCGCGGCCGCTGAAAGAAGGCCGACGGATCGGCCATGCCAGCAGCACAGCTTTTCGTGCGAAAAGCTGGTGGTCCGTCACCCGACGACCATATTGCTTGCTTTCTGTGTACAGAGCTGCTGCGCAGCCTAATGGGCCATTGCCACTATCGAAACAGGCCCATTGCAGCTGTGATTATAAGCGGCCGGGTGCGCAGCAGGGCTCAGCATGCTACCCCGCCATCTCGCCGCCGCCGATGGCCTCGCTGCTGGCCTGGCCTTTTTCTGGCATACGCGTGTATTTGACAGGAATACGAAGGAAGATATGAAAGGACGAGCCAGGGGGGCAGGCAGCACCCAGGGAAGAATGAGAGAAACGCAGGCCATGTTTCAGCCGAGCTCTAGCAGTACGCAACAGGCGAGAGAGAGAGGGTTCACCCCTCCACACAACTCTCTTTAAGCTAATGAAGGAGGTGAGCAAGGAGGAAAAACATCTAGAGGTGTTGCGGACCACGTCGGACGCGGGGAAAGTCGGGGCTCGGACCCCGAATCGCGGACCGCCCCATCCGCCCTCTTTCACCATCAGGGAGAGCCCACGGGCCCGCAGGGGCTCCGCCGGGGCCCCTGGGGCTCTCCCCAGCCCGCATGCCGGTCCCCATGCCGCTCCCCCGACGCCCCATGGCCAGCCTCCCGCCGCCCCACACGGCTCCCAGCATGCGCGGGAGGGCCTCACTGCGGCTGAACGAGCGGAGCTGAGGGCTCTGTGCAACTCGGCGCTGCAGCAGGCGCAGGCCGATGGCTCCTCGCCCGAGGGGCTGGAGCGCTGGATGGCGGCCTGGCGGCAGGAGATAGGTGGGAAAGTCATGCTCGCAGACGCGCAGCCAAGTGCCCGGACTGGCTGCCCGCCCTATGCCTCCCGCCGCCCCGCCCTCGCAGCCTGCTGCCGCTGCACAACCCTTTGCCCCTTTGTGAATGGTTGGTCTGCCCCTTCCTTCCCTTGCCAATGCTGCAGCAACCCCTGTGTTCAGCAGGGAGGCTGTGATGAGCCGTTTTATGCTCTGGGTGTATGCCAACTCTGCGCGCATGGTGACCGCGTCGCCTGGTGGGCACGCCGCTGCTGCCCCTCTATTTCTGCCTGCCCCTCTCCTGACTGCCTTGCTTGCCTGCCCCTCTCCTGACTGCCTTGCTTGCCTGCCTTAGCTTGCTTTGTTGAGCTAATTCTCTGCCTTTTCTCCTGATGCGCAGAGGAAAGGGATCTGTGGGGGCAACGACTTGCAGCGGTTGGGCAGGCTGCTGCAAGTGCAGCAGCCCAGGGCAGTATGAGCCAAGCCTGGCCTATCCTTCAGAGAGAGCTGCACCTGCAACACCTTCCTTTCTATCCAACCTCTTGATATCATCTCACACCAGACCCTCACCACCCTGCCCTCACCTCTCCTTTCTTGCTCCTCTGTCCATTGCCCGAATAACTGGGGGCACATTACAACAAGAATGTAACATGCAATCTCTAGCAACAGTCAAGAGCGTGCCTAGTCGCCGCCTGCATCGTTGCCGTCATGCTCGCTCTCCCTGCCGCTGCTGTGCTGCTCCGCTGCTGCTGCAGCTGCAGCCCTCTTGGCCTTGCCACCTTGCTTCTGCAGCTGCTTCAACAGGGAGTTCAGGGTCTGCTTCTTCTGCTTGCCGCCATGCTTGATAGCTGCAGTTTGCCGCTCCTTCTCCAGTTGTCGAGCCATCTGCATGCTCAATGAAGGCAAAGCAGCCTTTACAATTCAGCTCCCCCGTTGTCCGTCGTGCTCAACCATTGCCATTCAATCTCATACCACTCCCACGCACCCTGCCAGCCCCCACCCAAACCTGCAAGCTCACCTCCATTCGGGATACCGCTTGCTTGGTTTGTTGCTGCAGGGTGGCCGCATGCTCCTCGATGTAGGTGATGAGCTTATTCACCTCTGCAAGTGACAAGCGAGTGCAACGAAAGAGCATGTGATGGCAACTCACAACAAAAATGTGCCAGGTGTGATATTGCACCCAACCACACATGACCCAATTGTACGCCCCCTGATCACCCTACCATTGAAGCGTCGCTTGTCGATCCCTGAGCGCCACTCTGGCATCGCAGCTGGGTTGCAGGCCTGCTCCTGCTCCTCCTGAAGAACAAGAAGGGAAAGAAGATGAATGTGGCACCTGCATTTGCGATGCAACAGTTAGGCAAGGCAGCATTCAAGTACTGACAGCCGAGCAAAAGGCATACACGCACGGCAAGGCCTCCCCACCGTCTCCTGCCGACTCATCCCATTGTCAAGCAAGTCGTTGGTCCACCACTCGTAGATCTGCATGCAGCGCACAGTGCAATCACTGTAAACAGCAGGTTCGGGAGGCGATGTGTAGAATGCACACAGCGCCGCCGCCTTACCGCAGGCAGCCCCCCCAGTTGCTCAAAGTGAGCCAGTGTGGGGAGGTCTCGCCGCTGTGGCGGCAGCCGCCGCCGCGAGCCATTCCGAGCCTTCCTCTGTCCCTCCTTGCTGCCGTCTGCACCGCTGCCGCCGCCATTGTCCTCGCCAGAGCCGCCTTTGCTGCCCCTGCTGCCGCCAGCCCCGCCTATAGCTGCAGGTGCGCTGCCGACAAAGCTGCCAATGTAACTGCCATCAGATGCTCTAGGCAGCAGCAGCCCCTGAAGCATGGCATGCTGCGGGTGCGGGTGAAGGGCAGGTTGCTGCCGCCCCATGAACAGCTGTTGCGCTGCTGCTCCAGGGCCCATCCGGTGTACCAGGTGGGGCTGGTACTGGCTCATGGATGCCGAGTTAGCCAGCATGCCGAAGCCGTCGCCACCCAGCACGTGTTGGTATGGTGCTGCCATGTTGAGCGTCTGCTCCATGAGGAAGCTTGTCGGCAAGGCTGCCGCTGCGGGGCCCATGGGTGGTAGGAACTGCTGGTGCATAGGGACGGATTGCATCATCGATTGAGACAGAGGGTGAAGGTGTGTTGTGCTCCCCCCATGCTGCTGGTGCTGCTGGGCGGCTGTGCCCTGCTGCTGCAGCATGCCCTGCTGATGCTGGGCAGCAATGCCGTGCAGCTGCGGCATGCTCGGCAGAATGCCCTGCTGCTGCTGCTGGGCAGCTGTGCCGTGCGGCTGCGGCATGCTCGGCAGAATGCCCTGCTGCTGCTGGGCAGCTGTGCCCTGTTGCTGCATCATGCCCTGTTGATGCTGGGCAGCAATGCCGTGCGGCTGCGGCATGCTTGGCAGCATGCCCTGCTGCTGCTGGGCAGCTGTGCCCTGCTGCTGCATCATGCCCTGTTGATGCTGGGCAGCAATGCCGTGCGGCTGCGGCATGCTTGGCAGCATGCCCTGCTGCTGCTGCTGCTGCTGCTGCTGCTGCTGCTGGGCAGCTGTGCCGTGCGGCTGCGGCATGCTCGGCAGCATGCCCTGTTGCTGCTCCTGCTGGGCAGCTGTGCCCTGCTGCTGTGGCATGCTAGGTTGCTGCTGCTGGTGGTGGAACTGCTGCTGCTGCTGCTGGGCTGGTGCAGCCACCTCCTCCACGAGGGCTGCATCCATGTTCAGCTCGCACGGCTGCAATGGGTCACCAGCTCGGCTGATTGTCCGCTTGCCGCCGCCGGGGCTCAAGACAGCAAGCACAGCTGCCGCCTGAACCTCTTCCAACTCCTCTGCTGGTGGGCTGGGCTCCTCATCTGCCGCATTTGCTGCCTCGGCGGTGGCCTTCAGCTGCTCTAGGGCTGTTTGCTGGTGCTGGTGCAGCAGTTCCATGTCCACCTGTTCAAAGCACAGAAAACCATGGTGGCTTAGCCAGATGGGGGGCAAGCAACGCCAGAGGGCAGATGGATTTTAGCATGGCTCAATTGAGAGGACACGCCGAAAAGCCTTGCTCTCACATTGTCCTTCTGAAAAGCCGCGGCAAAGTTGTCATGCCCGGACATGAACCGCGCCAATGGCGCAGTGTCTGTCATCACGGCCAGCATCGTCGTCAAGGCATCCCGGGGGGTCATGGGCCGCCGTCCAGCCCAGAACTGCGTCCCAGAACTCGGCTGCTGCTGCTGCAGGCTGGGCGGCGGCGGGCGGCGGCGAGGGCGGCCTCCCGCCTGACTGCTGCGGCGGGCTGTAGGGGATCTGCGTTGCCCACAAAGCTGGATCCGGGACGTAGGTAGGGCAGCTGCTGCCATCCCCCTGAGGGCCATTGTCTGCCATGGCGCAGCGCGCCGAGTTCGCTACTCGGCCGCTGGAGAGTCTGGGAGACGATGCTGCAAGAGGAAAAGCGGCAGGCGGGCCGGGGAAAGGACAGGGGGCGGAGTGTGGGATGGCCCTGATGGGCGTGCGGCCGCAGGGCTGGACGGCCGCTCAGGGTGTGGGTTCCTAAGGCCTTTGTGATCTCAGGTGGAGTGGAAATGCGGCGGGCGGGGGCCGCAGCGCGCTGTCAGGGCGGAGTTGGCCTGCCACATTTCCTGGCGCATTTTTGAAGGTTGCGGACCGAATGCCAGGGTCCGCACGGTCCGCACCCACCGCCTACACCGGTCCGCAAACTCATGAAATGTCTCTGCTGCCAGCACTGGCCATCCTGCAGCAGGGCCTTGTGGGGCTGTGCCCCGATGAGGCCTCTGCCAATGCTTTGGAAAAAACGGTGGTGGTGTTTACTATGGCAGTCAATGCATCGCAGGGCGAAGTCCTTTCGGGCAGCACAAAGCAGGAGCTGACAGAGTGCGACCAATGCGCTTGCAGGGTGCCGCAGTTCAATGTCTGGGGCGGCAGGTTTCCGCCCCGCCTGCAGCTTACTCTCCAGCCATCGTTTGCTTGCAGGAAGATCATCGCCCTGGCACAGCAACTGGCTCTGCTGGACCAGTCTCTGGCAGGGGACCCCTTCACTGCCCCCGGCCGGCTTATGAACGTCCACGCAGCCTGCGCCGCCTTGCACGCGTGCATCAGGATCGGCACGACCCTCAGCCTGTCGCCCAGCGATGCATTCCGGCTGGCGGCAGCAGCCAGGCCGGTGATCAACGCCGGAACAGCCGCGCTGACAGTGGCGCTGGCCGATCCGCGACATGCACGCGACCTGGCAGTCCTGGGTGACCGCGCCGCCCAGCAGCTGGGGGTGGTGGAGGGAGTGCTGGACGGCATCCTAGTCGGCCCCGATTACAGCCGCTCGGCGCGCGCGTTTGCGGCCACGGCAGCCAACCCAACAGCGGCAGTCGACTGGCTGGTCACCGTCACGCATACGCTCGACGCGGCGACTACCGCAGGCGGGCGTGAAGGTGCGCTGCTCGCGCTCATGCACCAGGGCTGTACCCATGCCTGGCCGCAGCACGTCGCTGGCGGCACGGTGCTGTCGGCAGCTCGCATGGGCGCTGTTTCCTTCCGCCCGACGCTTTGCTCCCTGCGGCTTGGTGCAGGCTTGAGGTCGAGCGCCGCGCAGCGCTACCTGGCAGTGACCCACTCTTTCATTACGCACCAGGAATTTCAGCTGCACAGCCACCTGCTGGCCTCCCTCGCCATCAACGAGCGCACGCAGGTGGCCCGCACGCTGCTCACCCTGTGCCTGCCCCCCCTGGTGGAGGGCATGGAGGCAGCTGCCGGGGCCCTGGAGGAGTCACGCCCAGGCAGCAGCGCCGCAGCTTCGGCAGCCATGGACCTCGGTCATCAGCTCGGCCGTCTTCAGTTGCTGGAGCAATGTGTGAAACATCCATCCCTGCAAGCAGGCCTCTCAGCCACTCTGCAGCTGCATGGCAGCGGGCGGCTGGTGCAGCTGGCGGTGCGGCTGGCCGCGGCTCTGCCGCTGAGCCCGCCCCCGGGCATGGAGCGTGACGTTGCGGCTGGCCACGTTGCAGCTGGGCAATTGCTGGCGCAGCTGGTGCTTATCATGCGCCTGACGCTGGAACAGATGCGCGCAGCGGAGCAGGACGCAGCCGAAGAGATTCGTGCTGCAGAGCGGGAAGGCGGCAGCAGCATGGATGCTGGCAGCGGCAGCGACGGCGAGCACAGCTCGGCACAGCCCGACAGCAACGACCACGGCGGAGCGGAATGCAGTGCAGAAGGCAGCGGACACGATGATCGCGGCAATGACTCTTTGAGCCGCAAGTGTAGCAGCAGCCAGCACTTGGAGGAGCGGCGAGCAGCGGCATGGCAGGTTGTGCGCCTGCTGGTGCCCAGGATGCAGGGGATCTTGCTGCAAGCAGGCCACGGGCCTGACTCCAGTGGGGACATGGCATGCATGTGCCAAGATTTTGCCGTCTCCATCACCTTGTGGTTGACAGAAGGCTCGTGCTGGGCAGCATTGACAGCGAAGAGCAGGTGTTGACCATGGCTACGGCAGCCTCTGCAACCCTGCGGTTGCTGCCGCAGCTGTGCCAGATCTACGACAGCTGGCTGGAGGCACCTCCGGCCGCTGTATGGACTTCAACACAGCAGTATTCTCCAGCGCTGCTGGCCTCATTTTTAGTGAAAGTCATATGTATCAAGTTTTCAGCCCAAGCAATTGGTGCCGTCCAGCAGATCTGCGACAAAGGGCTGTCCGCAGCTGCGGCGGACAGCCTGGCGGGCAGCCTGCTCCGACTGCACAGCCTCAGCTGCAGCATGGTACACTGGCTGGTGACGGCAGGCAAAAAGTCTGCACTGGTTCCCGAGATAAACGACGGGGAGCCCCACAAGCTGTGGCGTGATGTCATCGATGCGCTGTGCAGCCAGAAATTTGCCGTCTGCCAAGCTATGCACACAGCGACCGCAGGCAGCAACGCCGCCTCGCGCTCTGCCAGGTGAAAGCTGCTCTTTGCCAAGCTTCCTTGGTACTCACCCTTGACTGTGCCACACAAAGCCTCCAGAGCGGGGCCGCTGTCTCAAGCTCCGCTGGGCCTGCTCCCCTGCAGCCAGCGGCGCATGCAGGTCATGCACCACACGCATCAGGCAGCTCTTCGAGTGGCGTACGCTGCTGCTAGCGGGCCGCTGCCCAGCGACGCCGATGCTTGCAGCCTGCTGACCTTTCCGCTAGCCTATTCCCTGTGGATGGCGGTTAAGTCTTGCCCGCAGCTGTTGGTAGCTGATCCCGCATGCGCGAGCCTCTTGGAGCAGGCATTGCGAGTGCAGGTGGGTGGCACCGCTCAGCTTTCCGGGGACCCATCTTCTGGTGCCCGGAGCCTGTTCCATCAGCTCTTCCTGCCCAGCTGTCTGGCCGCATGCCATTGCCATGCAGGTTGCCGAAACGCTGGCCACCCCCACCGACTCGTCTCCTGCCCTGCTGGTGGTAGCCGAACAGGCTCAGTGCTCGCCCCAGCTGACGGCGTTCCTGGCAGGCACCGGGCTGCCTGCTGGATGAGGCGCAGGCCCTGGTGGAGGCCGGAGGTGCAGATCCGGCACTCACAAAGCTGGTGAGCTACCTGTGCAGACCTGATTGCCTTCCCTTCTGTTGGCTGCGGCTGGGAGAGGACAGCGCTGCACCTCTTCTTCATGGCAGCAGCGGGATGCTGCATGCCAGCCTGCTGCACCCTCTGTGCCGCAGGTACAGCGGCGGCTATCCACATTCGCAGATGTCATGGCACAGCTGGAGCAGGCAGGCGGGGACGCTGCAGCTGCGCTTGCCGCCAGCCCGCCGGATGGCAGCGAGGCGGAGCAGCAGCAGCAGCAGCAGCGTGAGGCGCGGCGGCAGGGCCTGCAGTCTGCCGTGTCCAGGGCGCACGCGGCATGGGCCGAGGCGCAGCGCAGCAGCCGGGCCATGCCGCTTGCTGGCAGGGCGGAGGTGTACCAGCAGCAGGCGCTGCCGGCAGCCACCCAGCTGGGCAGCCTGCTGCAGGAGTACCGGTTGCTGCCAGAGCAGGTGGCAGCAGCCGAGCTGGAGCTGGCAGAGATTGCCGCCTGCCGCGCCTGCGCCAACCTGCGCTGCCCCAGGCTGGATGAGACCACACAGCCGGCGGGCAGCAGGAAGAGCCTGTGCGCCGGCTGTCGGGTGGTTCGCTTCTGCGGCCCGGCCTGCATCAAGATGGCCTGGAGGGATGGGCACAAGCGGGTGTGCGCGGTGCTGGCAGCCAAGCGGCAGCAGGCATGAACGCGTCTCGGTGTGTCTCTCTTTTTCTTCAAGTGCACAGTTCAAACTGTCGCTCTTGAATGTAATTAACATGCTCTGGCATTGTGAACAAATCCAGCGGCAGGGGTGGCGCAGCAGCCGCAGCAGGCCGCCGCCGCTGCCCCATGCCAGCAGGCCGCCATGCCTCGGCTGCCGTCGCTACCTGCGCCTGCCCAGCCGCTGGCCTGCGGTGCTGGCGGCGATGAAGTCCGACAGGCGCACCGGCTGCATGACCCGGATGTGCCCCTCCTCGTCTGCCGCCTTGCGCAGGCCCTTGTCCTCCAGCCGCCCGTCGTGGTAGGCGTGCCGATAGAAGCAAGAGGTGCTGCAGGCAGGGGCGGCAGGCAGGGGAGCAGGCAGCGGAGCGCGAGGGACAGGGGATGGTCAGAGTGGGAGTGGCAGGGGCAGGGGGGGGGACGCAGAGCATGGGTGGCCGCGCCGCCGGCCTGCCCCGACCACGCCCTGCGCCATCAGCGGCCCCGCTCCGAGCGGCGCACCCAAAGGGGCAGGTGCCGTCCCCAAAGTTGAAGTAGCGGCAGTCGATGAGCGACAGCTTGGCCTTGTAGCCTGCAGGCAGGCGGGTCGGGGAGAGAGGGAGGGCGGGAGGGAGGGAGGGAGGGAGGGAGGGAGGGAGGGAGGGAGGGAGCCTCAACGCCTCTGGCAGCAGCTGCTCTCAGGCACGCCCCCAGGCTCCTGCCAGGGGCTGCATCGCTACACAGTCGGCGTGTAGCTGCCAGCGCCAACCACGGAGTACCAGAAACAGCGATGAGCAGGAAAGCAGGGAAGCAGAAGCAGCAGGGGGACACGGGGCACGCTGCCGCTGCCGCTGCCGCCGCCCGCTGCCCAGCCGCGCCTCCCACCTGCCAGGATGCGCTCCTTCTCCTCCCCGCTGGTGGGCCACACCAGGCTGGGAACGATGTAGTAGCTGGTGGTGCGGCAGACGGGGCAGGTGCGCAGGGCCTGCAGGGGCAGCCAGGGTGCGACGCGGCGGCATTGCAGCAGTGGGCGCCGCGCACGACCGCAGGACGCCTCGCGGCGGCGCCCCGCGCTGGCCTGCAGCCAGCCGCCCGCAGCGCCGCACTGCGCCGCACCGTGTCGATGTCCACGCTGCCGTCGGTGTTCTGCCGCCAGCTGCGGATGCACCGCAGGCAGAACGGGTGGTCGCACCTGCACGCAGGGGGCAGCCCGCGCCTCAGCTGGCTCCAGCTGGCGGCGCAAACGCCCTCAGGCAGCGGCACCCCTCGACGCCGGCCACCTGGACCAACCAGCCAGCCAGCCAGCCGGCGGGCCAGCCAGCCGGCCAGCCTCCACCAGGCCCCACGCACCCCGTCAGCAGCCCAAACTTGCGCTCCCCGGGGGCCGCCTTGCTCAGCACCGCCTCCAGGCAGATTGAACACTCGACGGCGGAGCTGGCCGCGCGCGCCGCCAGCCGCTCGTGGCGCAGCCGGCACTCTGCCAGGTGCTGCTGGCGGGCGGGGGCGTCGGTCGGGTGCAGCGCGTGCTTGTGGCAGTGCTGCGGGGAGGAGCAGGGTGGAAGGGCGGTTCAGAACAGCGCCGCTCGTCTCGCAGCCAAAATGGGTGGCTGGGGTGGGCGGGCAGGACCGCAGCACGACCACAGCATGCACAGCACAGCGCGGCACAGCGCAGCGTGCGCCCACCTGGCACAGCTCGCCGTGCACCAGCTGGCACCTGTCCCCCCTGCCGCACGCCCCGCTGCTGAACCACTGCATGCACAGCGAGCGCAGCGAGGGGTGGCTGCCGCCCGCTGCCCACCCCGGCTGCCCGCCGCCGCCCTCTGGCAGCGACCACACGCCCGGCTGCTGCGCGCCGCCGCCAAGCTGCTGCGTCACGTCGTCAGGCTGCCCTGCCAGCCAGCCGGCCTGCTCGTCGCCGTGCCACCCTTCCTGCTCCCCATGCTGCTGCTGCCAGTATGCGCCCTCGCCCTCGCCTTCGCCATACCACTCCCCCTCCCCTTCCTCCCAATATTCACCCCCTTCCTCCTCCCACTCTCCTTCCTCATACTCCTGCTGCTCCTGCTGCTCCTCCACCGCCTCTGCCGCTGCATCGCCGCCTCCCGTGGTGCCGTCGCCGCCAAACGGGTCGCGAGGCAGCTGCAGCGGCAGCGGCAGGGGCAACGGCAGCGCCGCGCTGCCGCTGCCGCCGTGACCAGCCGCCGCGTCGGCGTCGAGAGCCTGGCCGCCCAGGCGCAGCCGCGAGATAGGCAGCTGCTCTGCCAGGTCGTCGGCGGCTGGGCGCGGCTCTGGCGGGGCGGCGTAGCCGGCTGGGGCCGCGGCGCCGCCCTCCCGCCTGCCCCTCGCCCACTCCGGCTTGGTGTGCATGTAGCGGCAGCGGTCGCCGTAGGAGCACTCGCCTCGCAGGTAGAACTTGCAGACCTGGGGGGGCAGGCGGGGCAGAGGCACGCGGGGTGTGTGGGCCGGTGTTGGGGCGGGGCCCGCGGCGACGCGACGCAGCTGGCAGGCCCACGCCATCTCCCCACGGAGCTGAGGTGCTGGCCACAGAGGCAGCTGCCAAGCGCCCCATGGTTCCTGGAATGCCTGCGCAAGCAATGCACCTGCGACTCGCCGTCCGCCATGCTGTGCGAGAAGGCGCAGGCGGCCCCAAACTTGCAGGCGCCATGCAGGTAATACTTGCACAGCACGTGGCTGGTGGCCCCCATCCGGCTGCTTGAATGCCAAGCCCAGGCACCTGCAGAGGCGAGCAGAGCAAGGTGTCGACGGGCTGGCAACAAGTAGCGGCAGGGGTGGCAGCGGCGGCGGCTGCATGACGCGGCGGAGGACGCAAGAGACCTTGGGCAGCCAGCCACGCCGCACTTGATGCTCCTGTGTTGTGAAAAGCGCGAGAAGAGCGGCGATGGCTGAGAGGGAAGGCTGAAAGTGCTTCCGCCTCAGCGAACACGGGCTAAACTGATCGAATGAGGAAGAAAGACGACATTTGTATGTATCTGTGTGCAGTGGAGTGGCTGCATTGGGGGCTAGCCATTCTGGGACTTGACGACGGCCCGCCGCCACCTCAGCCGGGCAGGGCGACCTGAGCAATCCACGCTGCAATGCGCCAAACATTGTCTGTTACATGCTAATTCGAGCACATCTGCTCCTGATCCCGAGCAACCGTGGCAGGGCAGCCTCCCCGGCTGCGGACAAGCCTGCTTGGCGACGGTGCGCTCGGCGGCTGGAAACATCTTCCCAAGCAAGCGGACGTGATCCACTTGCCCACCAACAGCTTTGCCTCAGGTTTGTGCAAGCGCCTTCCTCAATTCAGGCAACAGCGCCGTCTCCAGGGCTGTAAAGCAGCCGCCGCCCGGGGTGGCGGCGCGCTGGGTGCGCTGCCTGCAATGCCCTGAATGTCTCGTTCAATTTGGCGCTGATCGAATCCGGCTGACCTTCCCTGCTTGACTGCCATGGCATCCTTCGCCCCTCGCCCGCAGGGCCGTGACCGGCCCCCAACGATTATCGCCCCCTCCTTGCTCTCCTGTGACTTCGGCAGGCTGGCAGAAGAATCCAAGCGTATGGTGGAACTTGGGGCAGACTGGCTGCACGTGGATGTGATGGTGCGCGCCGCCGGGCGGCTTCCGGCCACCGCTGTCGGCGCCCACTGGCAGCTGGTGGTGCCCCCCGCAGAGCTAGAGCACGTGCTGGGCAGGGCAGCAGGAAACACAGGCCCCTCCTTTCCCCAACCAGTGCCTTGAATCTGTCTGTGTCCCCCCCCCCCCTGCTCCCTTGTCCAGGATGGCCACTTTGTGCCCAACCTCACCCTGGGCCCGCCCATCGTCCAGAGCCTGCGCCGCCACACGCCCGCCTTTCTGGACTGCCACCTGATGGTGGCCCAGCCGGCGCGGTGGGTGGCCGACTTTGCGGCGGCGGGGGCCAGCATGTTCACTTTCCACCTCGAGGCGGTGGAGTGCGGGCAGGCGGCGGTGCGGCAGCTGATCGGCGCGGTCCATGCGGCGGGCATGCTGTGCGGCCTCACCATCAAGCCGGGCACGCCCGTGGAGCAGCTGCTGCCCTACCTCGAGGCGGGGCTGCCCGACATGGTGCTGATCATGAGCGTGGAGCCGGGGTTTGGGGGCCAGGCCTTCCAGCCGTCAACCATGGACAAGGTGGGTGGAGGGCGAGGCGGCGGGAGCGGTGCGGGTGTCTTCAGGGAGGGCAGCGGAGGAGGAGGCCACTGGCATGCAAGCAGCCAGGCAGCGGCAGCAGCAGCGGCAGCAGGGGCCGTGTGTTGCGCTGCCTGGCAGCCACCAGCCTGCCGCGCCGCCGCGCAACCGCCTGCAGGTGCGCTTCCTGCGCTCCCGCTTCCCCGACCTGTACATAGAGGTGGATGGCGGCCTGGCGCCCTCCACCATCCAGCAGGCGGCAGACGCAGGCGCCAACGCCATTGTGGCGGGCAGCGCCGTCTTTGGGGCGCCAGACCCGGGGGCCGTCATCTGCCAGCTGCGGGGAGCGGTGGACGCGGCGGCGACAGCAGGGGCGCAGCAGCAGCACCAGCAGCAGCAGCCGCTGGGCGCAGCATAGGCTGCCCTTGCATGCCCCTTAGGCTTAGGCGTGCCCATTGACGGTTACTGTACAGTCGATGCGGCGGTCAGGTTGTGAGGCCCGCCGACGGAACCGAACAAAATGAGGTTGCATCAAAGAAGAGCAGCAGGCAAGTGCAGCAGTGGCAGATGTAGCAATGAAGAAAGTTCTCAGCAGCAGAAACGTGTCATCAGGATGTGCCGTGCAGTCGGCTGCCGTCAGGGTCCGCCTTGTGGGGTCTCTCTGCACGTATGCGCCATCCAAGCGGGTTCGCCGCCAGTGCAGCTACCTCGGCGCTAGGACTTGGACAGCCAGAAGGTGTTGAGCAGGGTGACTGTTCCCATGGTGAACCCCAGCACCACGCACACCAGCGCCAGCACGCGGCTGGTGGCCGACAGGCGGTGGGTGCGGGAGGCGACGCGCAGGATGAGGAAGCCGGGGAGGATGAAGGCGATGAAGGTGGCGGCGGTGGCGCCCGTCACGCTCATGGCCGTCCACACTGCGGCGCGGGTGGGCATGGTGGGGGTGGGTGGGTTCGTGTGTGGTGGTGTGGGTGGGTGGGCTGGAGCAGGCGTCGAGCAATCTGGGACTGTGGAAGCCTGGGGCTGCTCGCCGTGCCTCTGCACTTCACAAACCACACAAGGTGCTTCCCCCGCCCGCCCGCCCGCGCTGCCCATGCGCTGCCATGCCCAGCCACACGCACCCGAGGGCACCAGTATGGCCACCAGATAGATGACTGCCAGCAGGGCGTAGGAGAGGGCGTGGAAGCCGGGGCCGGGCAGCACGGGCTTGTGGAACAGCAGCTTGGTCACCGTCTCGCGCAGCGCCCAGTTCAGCATGGCAAAGGTGGCCTGCAGTGGAGGGAGGCGGTACGCGGTACGTGCATGGCTGGTGTGAGACAGAGGGCGCTGGGAGGGAGGGCGGGGTACGCGGCAGGCAGGCAGGCAGGCAGGGGGGTAGGCCAGCGCTCCGGCGGGCGCCAGCCCGGGGCGCAGCCGGGCCTGGAGGCCCGCAAGCAGGCGGCCCCGCCATGAGGCTGATGCAGTACCATGAGGCTGATGCAGTACCATGAGGCTGATGCAGTACCATGAGGCTGATGCAGTACCATGAGGCTGATGCGCACCATGAGGCTGATGCAGTACCCCAGGCGGTTGGCAAAGGACAGCACCGAGCCCATGGCCTGCCCCACCACCGGCGCCAGGCTGTCGGGGGTGAGGTTGTTGAGGATGTTGGCCAGGGTGGAGGAGCCAAAGAGGATGTAGCCGCCGCCCGCCACCAGCGTGAAGACAAGCGTGCAGACAATGAGCTGCAGGGGCAGGGCGGGGGGGAGAGAGCGACGCAGAGATGCCGGTCGGCGCGCGCGTGGCTCCAGATCCCAAAGGGCTGGGCCGCCGCTGCGGGGTCTCGGCCGCATGGGGCGCCGCCCCGGCTGCTCGTGAACCAGCGATGCCCGGCGGCGCGGTGCGGCAGCAGGCGCCGGTGCCAGCCACGGCCCCTTGTCCCCGCCCTGCTCCCCTCCCTCCCTGGCCTATCCCTCCCTCCTTCCCTCCCTCCCTGGCCCTCCCCGGCCCTCCCTGGCCCTCACCGCCCGGCGGATGACCATCATCATTCGCCGGTTGCTGAACCGCTCCAGGCTGTGGGCGATGGGGTGCACGTTGTAGCTGCAAGGGGACAGGTGGCAGGCAGGCAGGGGCGGCACGTGGGGTGAGCATGGCAACATGCAGCATGGGAAAATGCTTCCCGTGTCGTCCCACCGCCAGCCCCAAGCCAGCCAGCCGCAGGGGCAACCTGCAGGGCCACAGGATTTGGGCAGGAGGCGGGGCAGCCGCCCCCGCGCTGCGCCGTGTGCCACAGGCGTGCGGCCGCCACCGCAGCAGCAAAGGGCATGGCGGCCCTCGGCGGCTGGCGCTCACTGGCAGATGAAGCTGAGTGATATGACGGGCAGCACCGCCAGAAGGTTGACCGCCACCTGGGAGGGCGTGTCCCCCATCATCTCCGCGGTGGGCAGCCAGTGGAAGTCTGCAAGCGGGCAAAGGAAGGGGGAGGGGGGGAGCGAAGGGCAGGGCAGGGCAGGCAGGCAGGTGGGCTGGAGGTCCGCCCCTGGAGGATGGCGGCGGCAAGACGCCCGCAGCAGCCGCCACAGCTGCTCCAGCGAGTACTCTCGGCGGCACGGCGTGGCCGGCGGCCTGCGCGCACCTCCGACCTGCCCCTTGGCGATCGCAATTCCTGTGATGCCCACCACCGAGACGGCAAAGCCGCCCGCCACCACCACCCCCGCTGTGGACATGGGGCCCAGGCGGCCCAAGTCGCGCAGGCTCAGCAGCGGCGCCAGCACCAGCACGCAGCACACCGCCAGCACAAAGGGGCGGCTCACAAACCAGACTGCGGGAGGGAGGGAGGCGAGGTGGGTGGGTGGGGCGGGGGCTGGTTGTGGTGGCGGCTGCGTGCGGCGCGGTGGGGCGGGCAGCACGGGGCGACGGCGGAAGCAGGGGCAGCAGGCAGGCTGCCGGCGCGACAGGGGGCAAGGGCAGCGGGGGCAGCAGGCGCGCCGCCGACGCGGCAGCGTGCGGTGCCGCCTCACCGCTGGGGTCGTGCACTCCCAGCAGGTTTGTGACCAGGCCGTTGTAGTCTGGCGGTACGCCGCACAGCACGTCGGCGATGATGATGAGGTACACGATCTGCGGGACGGGGCGGGGCGGTACCGCACGGATCTGTGCCGCAACGCGCAAGCGGCGCAACGGGAGGGAGGGGGCCAGGGGCATCGCCGCAGCATCTGCGCCGCAAGGTATCAGGCATCTGCAGGTGCCGCGCGCCGGCCCACAGGCTGCAGGCGGCTGGCCGGCTCACCATGGACCCGGCGTTGTTGATGATGATAGCAAGCTTGAGGGCCAGCAGGCCCGGGTAGCCATACTCTGCAGACACCACATCGTGGTAGGTCCAGTGGTGCGTCAGCTGGGACACCCTGCGCAGGCGGGCAGGGGCAGGGCGGGGCAGGCGGGCAGAGGTGTGGACCGGGCAGCACCAACGGAACAGGAGGCGGCCATGCGGCGGCGCTGCAGCCGGGGCGGGCCCGCCAGGCGGTCCAGATGCTGCTGCAGGCCGCCCTCCGGTCCCCTACCCTGCCCCCATCCCTCGGGCACCTGACCAGCACTCCCAGGGAGAAGAAGGAGAGCACAAAGATGACCGCCAGCATGGACGCGCCCAGCACCACGCCTAGCGTGGCAAAGGCGCGCGGCAGCGCCATGATCCCCGCCCCTATGATGGTGGTGGCCAGGTTGGCGGTGGCCTGAGAGGCGGAGGGAAGAAGGAGAAGAAGGAGAAGAAGAAATAGTGTGACACACGTGAGTGACTCGGGGGGAGATGCGAGGCATCGAGGCATCGCGGGTGGACGCGGGGTGCGCGTGTGTGGCGCTAGCGGGGTGCGATGCACAGGCGGCAGGCGGTGTGGCAGGCACGATGGGCGGGCCCAGCCAGAGCATACGCCATGCCCGCCGGGCGCGGGGGCCGGCGGCGCAGGCGGCGTTCCCGTTCTGGGTGCCTGCCTGGGTCAGCCGCGTCTCGCCGTGCAGCACCGAGGCGGCGATCTGCGCCAAGTCCTCAGAGTCGCCGCGGGACAGGGCATCCTCCTGGCGAGCCACCTCCTCCTCGTGCTCCAGCTCATCCCTGCACGCCACGTCGCCACGGCCAGCCATCCACAGGGTCGCCGCACGAGTTGGGCAATAAGCAGCTTTGCCCGCCACGCACGCACGGCAGCGCCACCCGCCTGGCCGCCGCCGCCCCAATTGCTGTGAGTGCCCTGCATGCGTGCCGCCGGCTTCTGCGCCCACCTGAGCGTCCGGTCGTCCTGATCTGGCTCTATTAGCGGCGCCTCAGCGTCCTGTGGCGAGGTCATTGCGCTGGCAATGGCTGCTGGGCTGCCTGGCGCCTCAGAAACAGAAGGAAGGGATTCCGGCCGTGGTTCGCAGGCGATCGGGGACAGCAAACTTGCATTGTAACGCTGAGCTGGCTGTGCATCGCTGGCAGACTTCTCAAATGAGAGCTTGCAGCCCCCGGGATACATCCAGCCCCAGGGTACATCCAGTGCATTGGAGACTCGCTGTGAGAAGCAATGGCGGCCACCACCGAGTCGGCGGGCATCGACTGCCGGAGGCTCATGAGGGGCAGGTTGCTGAAACCAGAGCGCATTCAAGGTATTAGTGACTAGTCTATGCCGACTGGCAATCGGGGGCTGCTGCTTGCGGCCCAGAGGAGGAGATTGCGGCCGGCCCGCCGCTCCCGCCATGCTGCTACCGTGCCCCTGTCTTCCCACCCAGCAGCACCCCTTGCCTGCCCGCCTGCCCGGCGCAGAGCGCGCCACCGCGCTGCACGCACCTTACAACTCCTGCAACCACGGCGGGCGGTTTGACTACCGGGAGATAGCGCGGGTGCTGGGCACGCGCCAGCTGGCGCAGGTGCTGGCGGAGGCCGACCCTGCCAAGAGGACAAGCTGGTGGAGGTGCGCAACCTCATCTCCATCTTCGAGCACCTGGCGCCCGCGCTGGCCTACGGCGGCGTGCACACCTCCATCGTCACGCTGTGGAACAGGTGTGGAGGGTGTGTGCTGTGCTGTGCTGTGCTGTGGCATGGTGCGGTGTGATGCGGTGCGGTGCGGTGTGGGGCTAGGACAGGGCGGCTGCGGCGGCGCCGGCGATGGCGGGCCAAGTGTATGCGCGTCGGCTGGGCTGCTCGCGCCACTCCGGGCGGCCGCCACCTCGCCCTCACCGGGGCCCCCACCCGCCTGCACTGCGACCGCCCCCGCCCCCGCCCCCGCCCCCGCCCCGCAGCTCCCGCAAGGACTGGGAGCTGCGGGAGTGCGTGCTGTCCACGCTGCGCCTGCTGCTGGAGGCCTGCGCCGTCACGCCCGCGGGCATGAGCCCGTTTGAGGGCGACACTGACAGCCTGGAGGATGTGGTTTGCCTGTTCCACGCATACCTGCAGCGGGTGCGGGGCGCTTGGCGTGGCGCGGCTGCGCCCCTTGGTGCAGTGCCTGTCCAGCCCGCTCGTCGCCGCTGCGTGTGGCATGCCATGCCCAGCTGCCGGCGGAAGCGGCGGCGCAGCCGGCCGGCCGGGGGCCAGGCCAACGGGGCGCGCTGTGCCTGCCGCCAGGGCCCTGCCCCCGCCCCGAGCCTGGGCCCGAGCTGCCTGCGCACGCTGCCTGCCCATGCTGCCTGCGCACGCTGCCTGCGCAGGTGGTGGAGGAGGGCATGGCGGCGCGGTATGCGGCGGGGGTGGACCACTGCCTGGAGGCGCTCTTTTCGTGCATGCGGTACCGCCTGAGCGAGGCGGCGGCGGCGGCCAAGGAGGCGATGTGGGAGGAGGGGCTGCCCGGTGAGAGAGGGCAGCACGCGCGAGGGCCCTGCCCGTGCCCGCGCCTCGCTGCGCCTGCGCTGTGCCACGCTGTGTTGTGCCGAGGTGGCGAGGCGCCCGAGGTGGCGGTTTTGGGGGAGCGCGGGCGCCGCCCGCCGCCTGCCTGCTGGGAGGCCGTGCCCGGAGGCCGCGCTTGACGGCGGTGGCCGAGCGGCGCGGCGCGGCGGCGCTGCCCTTGCAGAGACGCTGCTGCGTCTGGCGCTGGCGCCGCCTGCGGCGTATGGAGCCCACGGCGATGCGGCGGAGGGGGAGCAGGATGCGGGCGTGGCGCACTTCCTGGGCGGCGTGGTGAACACGATGCGGGTCATCAGCTGCATGTGCCTGGTGGGAGTGCCGGCCCCCCTGCCTGCAGCACGCCGGCCTCCCTGCCGCCGCAGCCGCTTGCCTGCCTCGCAGCCGTTGGTTGTGGGTCTCCCCTCTGCGCGCCACGTGCCTGCCCTGGCGGGTCCATTCACCCCTCCATTCCATCCATTCCCATGCCGGCCGGCGCCCACCGCCTCCCCCTGCCCCGACCTCCTCCA